TTCACCTTTTGACTAAAATTTAGATTTCAACAAGTCTAGAGAAAAATTTTATCACAGCTTGAAAGAGCATCACAAAATTAGTAATATTCCGAAGTTTCGTTGCGAAATGTTGTAAAATGCGGATAATATAGCCTTGCGAAGTTTGCAATTTTCAGTCAATTTGTATTACAAACGGGAAATACATACCCTTTTTCCGAAGGAGGTATGTATTTCGAGATAGATAGATAGATAGATAGATTGTTTGTTTAATAAGATTAACACATAGCAGCCAAGAGGCTGAATTGCGTGCTAAATTTTACAAGAAAAATGATTAAATTAGTTATTCTATATTTACAGAAGTTTAAAATTACATTACAATTTATAATTCTATATTACAGAAGTTTAAAGTTACATTACAAATTAGCTATGAAACTAGTAAATTTCTAAAAAAATGTTAGCCAGTCTAAAACTGAATATCAGAATCGATTGTCAGTTAATATTATTGATATGCCTTGCAGATGAAGGGAAAAAACTGTTTCTAAATCTGTTCGTTTTGGTCTGAGGAACAACAAAAGACCTTAGACCGTTGAAACAACCAAAAGAACAACAAATGACTGAAAATTGCAAACTTCGCAAGGGTATATTATCCGCATTTTACAACATTTCGCAACGAAACTTCGGAATATTACTAATTTTGTGATGCTCTTTCAAGCTGTGATAAAATTTTTGTCTAGACTTGTTGAGATCTAAATTTTAGTCAAAAGGTGAAAGGTCCATTACACACGTAAAAATCTCACAACTTGTCAACAAGATGTGTTCGCAACAGGCTTGTGTAGCAAGCTTGTCAACAAGTTGTAACAATGTTGTTATTTTATCAAGTTGCTACAAGGTTGTCACACACAACTTGTTGACAAATTGTTGAGTTGTAGGACGATAACAAGTTGTTGGAACAACTTGTAACAAGTTTGATGGGCTCAACAACCTTGTAGCAACTTGTCAACAAGCCGTTGACAACTTGTCAACAAACTGGGAACAAGCAGTGCGAACACATCTTCTGCTGCAGGTTTGCTACAACTTGTGCGTTTTTACGTGTGTAGACCCCGTTTACACGATGCCCCCCACACTTCCAAGATTCGAGCAGGCGGAGAGCACTCGAAAATTCTTTCGGTCTTTGTTCGGCAGATTTCGGATTTGATTTCGTAGCAGGTTAAAAACTTGCACGGATAGGTGTCAAAAACATGTCCGGATATAGGATAGTCGAATATACGTCCGGATAAAAATTTGTCTGGTGCTGTGTAAATGGGGTCTTAAGGCGGTTTTCCACTAGGCGAAATTTTTCGATCGAACCGAAATTTCTATTGTTCAAATTCAAAAGATTTCTGATTAGTTCCACCTGATTATTCCTATTGTACATAAATGATCTTCCTAACTGTTTAGAGACAACTAAAGCAAATCTTTTTGCTGATGACACAAGCCTTTCTTGTGAAGGGTTTAGTCCATATGAAATTGAGATCAAACT